AAACAAAGAAACATTGTTTTTATTGTCTTTAGTACTTTGTTTTTTTTTCTTGAGTGCATTATGTGCTTTATTTCTAAAATGTTGTTGGCGGGCCAGTAATGTTTTAACATATTGTTGTTGAACAAATAAACATTCTAGTGGTTTGCCAAATGTGTTGTCTTTCTTTGTATTCTCAACTCAGAATTTTGAGTACAATTTGCTTGAGAAATTTAAGGCAATCAGTTTCCACACATTCCTCTAGTAAGTAGAACAAGCAGACATGTTAAATTAACTGTTTTGTGTAAGTTCTGCTTACAAATCTCAACTTAAATCTGTAAATTGCCTTAACTTGAGATTATTAAGTTACCTGTACTCAAGTTTTATGGTAACCTCTACAAATACACAAGTTAACTCTACAAAGAAGTAGAGAGTAGTATCAACTCAAAAATGATGACCTAATTTGCTTGAAAATTTTGAGGCAATCAGTTTCCACAGCTTTTCCTAGTAAAGTCAACTTATTACTTTTTACAGTGCATAACCTCATCTACCGACGTTTAAGGGGGCCCTAAAAAGGCGAATATTGACGTATGGTCAAAAGACGTCCCAAAACGTCAGTTATATGACGATTTGGGATGAGACCGGGTTGGCCGAGACACATGAAGAAATATTCCTGTGCATTTGAAGAAATTGGGGTTGAGATTGAATGCCAAGAAAAGTGTACTTTCTCCAGCACAGAGGACCACCTTTCTTGGTGTCGTGTGGGATTGAGTGAGAATGAGGGCCGTGCTCTCGTCTGCTTGTGTCACTTCAATTCTCACAGTTGTAAAAGAGATAAAGCTAGGCCATTCACTCACTGTAAAACAGGTTAAAAGGCTGTTGGGTCTGATGGCAGCTGTGTCCAACATTACACAGTTCGACCTGCTGTACATGAGGCCCCACTAGGGGTGGTTTAAGACCAAGCGGTTTTCCCCAAGGGAGAACCCACTCTGTACAATCAAGATAACAAGGCGGTGTCTCCGTGCCTTGGTTATATGGAGGAACCCTTGGTTCCTATCACAGGGTCCAGTGTTCTCAACAGTGGGTCTCGGCAGATGCTTCTCTCACGGGATGGGGTAATAGAAGGCCGCTCTGCTCATGGTCTTTGGAGGAGTCATTATCTTTTGTAACACATAAACTGCCTGGTGATGATGGCCATCTTCAGTGTGTTGAGACATTTCCTTCCAGACCTGAGGGGCCATCGATGATATGCTTGTTTGCACCAACAACACGTTGGTGGTCTTCTATGTAAATCATAAAGGGGGTCTGGCGCACCAGATTGTCTTGTGGTCCCTGGGATAGTTCCTCTCCCTGAGAGCAGTCTATACTCCGGGACATTAGAATATAGGAGCAGACATCCTGTCGAGACAGGGGCTGAGGGCCGGGAAATGGAGGATCCACACCGAGATTGTGGAACACATTTGGGGAGTTTATGGCCAGGCACAGGTAAATATGTTTGCGTCTATACTATGCACTTTCCACTTTGGTTTTCCACTTTGGTCTAGCTGGGGCTACATCCGTATGGATTTCCCCCGATTGCTTGCTGGGGCCTGCAGTTCGTACCAGAATTCTAGCTTGGGATCTGGCTCTTGTTCTATAAGGTCTATCTGTCACTCCCTTTGAGATTCTCGAGTCTGTTTCAGAAAAAAATCTGACCCTCAAAACTGTGGTCCTTCTAGCCATTTCCTCACTAAAGAGGTCGGTATCTCCTTCTTGCCTTGTTTACACCCAAGATGGTCAAAGCATTCCTCTATTCTGAACCCGGTTATGTACCTAGGGTTCGAACCAATGTATTGTACTGCAGACGTTCTGTCCTCCTCCCTTCAAGGATTTAGACCAGGAGAAACTGAACCTCATCTGTCCAGTCAGAGCACTGGATACTTATGTCTACAGATCTACCCAGAGGAGAAAGTCTGATCAATTATTCGTATGCTTTGGGCACCCTAAGAAAGGCCTTCTTCCACCTAAGCAGACGGTTAGAAAGTGGATAGTTGAGGCTATCTCTCAGCAAATGAGGTTCTGGGCCAGCCTTCATATTTGGCCAATTGAGTCCATTCTACTAGGGGTATGGCGGCCTCCAAGGCCCTAATTTCCGGGGTGTACATTCAAGAAGTTTGTGATGCAACTGACTGGTCTTTGCCTCTTACATTTGTCAGATTTTATGTCCTAGACATGGATACACCAGAGTCCAGAGTTCTCATGTCATGACAGTTTAACACAACAGGTTCTTGGCTGTATGGTGTTCAGCCATTCTCGTTCCCAAAGTATCATCAACGCATTGTGAGTTCCCTCAAAACGGATTGTCTCAGGTTACCACTGTAACCCTAGTTGCCTCAGTAGGGAACTAGACGATGCTTCACCTTGCCATGCTATCTACATCCCTGTGATCGACTTGCTTCAGCCTTTTTCGAAGCTAGACTGGATGTGCTTTTATCCTTTCCTGATCATGACGTCACTCACCCGTAACACTCATTCTCGCCATTGGACTAGTTGACACATGTGCTTCAAACGCAGTCACACAATGCATACGTTCCCAATGCATCATCGACGCATCGTCTCTTTTAGGGAAATAGGGTTACAGTCGTAACATGAGACATTATGTGATGGGCAGTTATGGAAATCATTCAGTCTTGTTGGATGCTTGTTCCACAACACAAGAGAGGGAAAGGGTCCTCCACAGAAACCAAGCCTGATGCAATTCAAACCAAACCTTTCTGTGCAAAAAAAAAAAAAAAAACCCAAACAAACAAAAAAAAAATGCTTATTTGGTCACATCACTCACAGTAAGATATGTGTCTTTTATTTCAGCAGTAAATGGTAATGAGCCACAACTGTTAACATTTTATCTTAACACCAGATCAGTTTAGCTCTGGAAAGAGTTACACAACAATTTCAGGTTCCAGAGCTCTGAATGTTTTCTGTCATCTCGGCATTTTGTTGCGAAACATTTTGGCTCCACATGGTAAATGTACTTGCTTTCTCTCTCTCCCTTTTCATTAATCACATTCTTTTTGTCCATGCATTTCCACATCATTATCGAAGTGAAAAATGAAACATTCGGAATGAAAAATTAAACATAATTAAGTATAAGTCTTATGTATCACTTTTGTGATGCTTTTGTGATGCTGTTGCATTCCTTTTCAAGCTTGAAAGCCCCAGTCCCCTTTCATTGCAACTGTATGGCAAAGAGAAATCGGTATATTATTTAAAATGTCTCCTTTTGTGTTCCACACACCAAATTGCCATGTTTGATTGCCAAATTGCCAATTTTGCATGAATCAGAAGCAACTGGAATTGTTAACTGTTGTTTTGTTTTAGATACACATCTGTTCTCTTTTGGATTTAGAAAAACAGTTCTCATTATCACTGTGGTGGTGTTTTTCTAGTTTGAGAGGCCATTGGCAGTCAACTACTGGCTTGTGTTTTCAACAAGAACCACAACACCTCTGAGGCTAAAGCCTAATTAAAATCAGGGATTTACTCGGCTACTGCCAAAACTTTTAATTATTTTTCCAGCAATTTAAGACTTGTAACTTCTGTAGGAACATGAAAGAAACCTGAGAGAAACCTGAGAGATTTTTTTTTTTCAGAACTGATACAGTATGTAGTCCCAACGCATTCTCATCCTTTAACGTCATATAGAACGCTATATGCAAAAACGGCGCTATACTACGCACATGGCACCCGTTATCGTTAATATAACACGCGCTGTGAGGGCTAAGTTTAGGTGTGGGGTAGGGTGTGCGTGTCATATTCACGATAAAGGATTTATAACGTCTTGGGTTCGCGTGTTATATTAACGATATAGGGTGCCATGTGCGTAGTATAGCGCCGTTTTTGCATATAGCATTCTATATGACGTTAAAGGATGAGAACGGGCTGGTAGTCCTATTAACAAACACTTAGGTTAAAGCCAATATGCATTGTCATACAATTTTTCATCCTTGCTTTGGGTCTGAAGGCTTGCCTAGCATATAATGTAGAGCAGGCTGTGTCATTGTCCTTTAGATTTTTAGTTCCAACTTAGAACTTGAAGACTTAGTTTAGATGTTTTCATATTACGTCTACTTAAGACATTTACTATCCTGTGTTCCCAACCCACTTTTATTCCCTTCTAGGCGCAACATGTTCACACTTTAGCTCATATAAATCGGAACAATCTGTCCTATTAAAGGGTGAGATTTACTTCCAGAACAGCTTTGATGCTGCTAAAATCACTACCATATTTTTCCAGACCTGCAGACAAAGAATGTAAGGAAAACAATATGGTGGAGAAGCATGCAATTGAAGTTCTGCTCTTAAACGCTGTCAGGACAACCCTGACATATAAATTTGGCACATACACAGATTTATATGTGCCGGTCAGACGGTTATAACAATACGTACTTCTATAAGAGGTCCTCATTTTTTAAGATGTTGATGAGATTCTGGAAGATTTTTTTTTTCTGCTTTAGATCATCACTAATCTACGGAATGATGTTCAAGGGGAGCTTTATATGTAGGGTAAGAGTGATATCTCAATGGAATTACTCTTTCTCACAGTTAGAAAGAGATTACACACAGCAGCTTTGACAAGAACTGCAGCTTTGATCTCTGTTAAAACTAAGCTATTTATTTTAGTAAACCAGTTTGAGTGACATCTTCCCAACTGCATAGCAGTGTCTATGAGTGTATAATCAGCCTTTAATCTCTTTTGGACTGTGGTGGAAATTGTGCTATTATGTTGTATAATAATCAGTTGTATATTAAAAGAAGTATAAAAAACAAAGTAGCACTATATAAAGTATTAAAGTATTATTAACCAAATTTGTATATTCTGAAGAAAAAGTGAGTGTTGTCTGCCTGTGCAAAACTCACTTTCACAACGCTAAAGTGTTATGGGTGGTTGTCAGGGCATTGTTGTAATGTTCAGTTGACTCAATAGTAATTGTAAAATCCATGATTGCAAATTTACCACATGGAAAATTGTCTGTTTGTTCTGGCAGTGTCTTCTTTTGGAGAAAAGGGGGAGGACAGTTTATCCCTTCAGATCACTAGAGCTGCTTGATTGCAAACTGACTGAATGGTCTCTGGAAAGATTGGGGAAGGCTTCAGGCATCAGCTACCTCACCACACTCTGCCTGGACTATACACGGTAAGAGGATTGTGTAAATGTCCTCAAATACGCTTTGTCATTCCAGATTGTCAATGACAGTTTTCATCAGAGATGTGCAACTTAAATCCTCAAAGTCCTACAGAATTTATCTCCATCCCTAATAAACACACCTGAAAAATCTTATGGGTGCTTTAACTTTAACTTAGTGCTTGGCTGAATCCGAAATCGCCCCCTAAACCCTCATTCACTATTCCCTACGTTAATACTGTTTACTTGATGAAAATGTGAATGAGCGAATTCCGACAGCTGTTGAGCGTACATTGGCTGTACATTCGTTATTGTGATGCAATGTGGGATTGAATGAGTTATCTCAAAAATGTCCACTGTGGTTTCGGACACCACTGCAAATGGCCGTCCCCTCAAATAGCGCCCTATTTCAGGCCATCTCAATTTTAAGGGTGCCTTTGAAGGCATTTCTTTATTCTGCATTCCTTCATTTGGCTTATTTTGAAGGATGCATCAAGTCTATCCATCGCATCCTCCAATCACCTACAATCCAAATGTACACAAAAGAATTATCAGAAAATGAATCGGCTGGTTGTGATTACTTGTACTGCTTAATAGGAAGTCAGTTAAGCTTTTTAATTTAAAGTATTTTTCAAATGATAATTTGAATAGTAATTTTGTGCCGTGACCGCAGCTTCCAGAAACATTTATGAGACATGCGCACATACTAGACCGTCTAATTCTATTGTTTAATGTTGAGTAATGTTGAGTCTACAAGCCTCTGAACTACTATACAAGGAAAGACTAGGACCCGAGAACCGCCCCATGTCTTCAGCATTGCTTGAAAATTACAGGGAGGTGTGTTTGATAAAAAAACATGTTTGATGTTTCTATTTCACCCATTTCACCACCCTGTGTCTCACGGTTTTAAACACGAAAACATGTTCTGTGTGAATGGAACCTTTCAATGCTATTCAGTGTTTGAGCTACAGTAAATGTTTTAGCCTTTTTTTTTCAATGGTTTTAGTGTGTAATATTTCCTATTTCATTTTTTTTAAAAGTCATCTTCAATGTGTTTTTTAAAAGGTTTAAAAATGAACCTTTGCTCTGTCTGCTTGTTTCTCTCTCAGCATGGGACAGGAAGGACTGAAAGGTTTGCTTAGTGGAGGTGTGGAGACCAGTCAAATATTTTCCTTGAGTTTATGTTATTGTGGTTTGGGCTCATGGAGCGGAACTCTGCTAGCTTCACTTCTCACCAACAGTTCTGTGAGGTACGCGACTGTTATGACCACTGATGCTTGTGTTTCCCATTAACCTGTGACTCTCTGCTGTGACTCCTGGGATCCATTAACTTCTGCTTAAATATTTCATCACATATTAATTCATGAATGTGAGCTTCAGCTGATGACATATTACTGAGCCACAGGGGTTTAGAGTTACAGTAGAAGAAAAGCTATTTTGACACTCCAACAGAATTTTCGGACTTTTTGTGTTTTCACTATTATACAGTAGGGGGGATCTATCTTATGAATGATTACATAATCTTGATCATCAACATTAAACAGCATATAAATCAAAATGTTACTGAATGTTACCAAATTAAATGTTGACAAACGGACCAGATATGGGATTGCGAAGCTTTGGAGGTGCTGATGGACTCAATCTACTCGTCTTTAATCTTTATCATCGTTCTGAATCCGATCCAGATGTAGTCTTTGACAAAAAATTAATTTTCCTCAGCTTTTTGCTTTAAATGTTTTTTTTATGAGACTTTCCCACATGCAAGTGTTGATAAAAATGTTGATAAAATGCATGTCCAGATATGTGTACAACAACATATTCTGGGGGCTGTAAAAGTTGAGGCAACTTTTTTTTTTTAAATGCTGGCAGGGATATGATGTAGGATTGCATGTTGTCCACTCAAATATAATTTTTTAAGATATATTTTTGGCATTTCTGCCATGTTTTGAGAAAAACAGAAAATGATTGAAGAAGAGATAAAAGAATGAGATTGGGAAATGACCTTAAGTGAGAACTCAAATGCTGGCAAGAAGCACTGTTGTGGAAATGAGTCTTGAAATGAGACTGAAATGCATTGGTCCAGGATCTCTTGTAACACTGGTCCAAAGATTCAACCTTGCACTAGCAGATGCCATCTTAAGTCATTCCAAAAGGCCTTAGGCAAGGGAGATTGAGCTAACCAAACTTGGTGCCTGGATTGCACTAGAGTAGCAATAGCCTGCACCACAAGTTCAGTAAAGATGGCACTACACTAACCGGCTTGATTTGAATGGGAGGTGTCACACTGAAGGCCCCAATATACTTCAAGCCAATTCAAACATCAAACTAGTGTGACCTCTTTTCATCTAGTGACATCTTGACATCTAGTATGACATCAAGTTTTTTAAGTTTTAAAACAGCTTGCCAAAGCAAACTTTCTGGAAAAGTTCACTCCAACTGGTAACATCGCTGAGGCTCCGCTTTCTTTTCCGGTTAATTTCTTCTGTTTAGTCAATCGAGGTCAGACATCCGCAAGTAAAAAATGAACATTCTGGTGAGCTGCTTTATAGTAGAAATTTAAGTTGCAATTATAATTGAAAGAGACACTGACATTGTTTTCTCGTGTTTAATTAAAAGCTGCTGTAAAGCTACTTGCTTTGAAGTAATCGTGCTATATAAATACATTGCATTACTTGATTGCAGTGCAGAATTGCAGCTCATGCAAACATATCCAGCATTTCCATGAGGTGTTCAATACTGAAGCAGGAAGGGCACTGATTAAGTCCACCCATGCTATCCATCACACAAAGGCATGTAGACCTTCTAACTGTATCCGCTTTGAGCTTCAATACTCACCTAAAAGAAGTACCAACGAGGACAAAATGAAATGGATATGAATGTGTATGTCCACAAAGTTGATATTTGCAGTCTGACAGAAGTAAGAAGTCATCTCAAACCTCTTGAACATCCAGGGCCCGGTTTTTCAAAAGGTTTAATCTGGATAAAATTGATCCGGATTTAGTAATCCTTTTTTTTTTTTTTTTTTTTTTTTTTGCGATCCATAATCCAGCTTACTTTTGAGCCAGTTTTTCAAAGCAACATAAAATTGGATCAATCTGATCTGGATAGGAACTTTTCAGGATCACCAAATGAAGAGTTCAGATGCAAAAGCCTCTAAGTGCCATTTGAAATTTTCTTCTAGAATGACAATTTTTATCAAGCTTGTATATTTAAGTTCAGTGATTTCACTTAAATGGGAATGATAATTACCTATTAATTGTTATTTATGTGAAATTACTGAACTTAAATATACAAGTTTGATAAAAATCATCATTAAAGAAGAAAATTTCAAATGGCATTTAGAGGCTTTTGCATCTGAACTCTTCAAATCTGGATAACCAGTGCTCAAACAGGATAGGAAATCACAATGTAGACTACTTAAAGAGCAACAGGTAGACAAAACAATTTACAAACACTGTACATTGAGGATATTTATAACAAGTTTCAAATGTATTGAATTTAAAAAAAAAAAAGACTTAATGTCAAATACTCCACAATAATTTTAGACTTCCTTATCTGATGTGGAGAGACCAGCTTGTCTGAGCGTAGCCTTTAGGAGGCGGATGTCAAGTCTGGCCTTGGTTTGCTGCAGAGTTAGTTGTTCCTCTGCCAGAAAAAGCAAAAAGGACGTGCAACAAGGGACGCAATAGTTAGACACTATTTCTGATTTGGATTTGTTTTGGATTTCAAAAATCAGTGATTGGCATTTTTTGCATTTTTTGGAGTATTTGACATTAAGTCTTTTTTTTTTAATTCAATACATCTATATTAGAAACTTGTTATAAATATCCTCAATGTACAGTGGTTGTTACTTGTTTTGTCTACCTGTTGCTCTTTACATAGTTCTACATTGTGATTTCCTATCCTGTTTGAGCACTGGTTATCCAGATTTGGTGATCCTGAAAATTCCCTATCCAGATCAGATTGATCCAATCCGATGTTGCTTTGAAAAACTGGCTCAAAAGTAAGATGGATTACGTGATCACGGATCGTAAAAAAAAGGGTTACTAAATTTGGATCAATTTTATCCGGATTAAACCTTTTGAAAAACCGGGCCCTGATGGGATCAGTTTAATCCAGATTTATTGGATCAGAGTGATCCAAATCCTACAAAAAAGTTCTGAAAAACCCAAACTAAAGGTTTTATCCGGATCAAAACCAAGATTGGATTACGTGATCTAATCCAATTATGTAATCCATTTTTTCTTTTGAAAAACCAATTTTCAAGATTTTATCCAAAATCCTAGTGGATTACTTTTGAAAAACTGGGCCCTGGGTATGCCTTTTGGAGAATAAGACACTTGAAAATCAACACGTTTCAAAGAAGAAATGTTCATAAAAAGAAGTGTTCATTAAACAGCTTTTTCCAGGCATGGAAAATTGCAAGCTCCAGAGGGGAAAAAAAAATGCATTGTACTCTACAAGGGTTCAGTTGAAGCTCTTTTCAGATGAAAACTGAGTAGACTATCATAACTAATTGATTTCATCAACCAAGAATGAAGAATAGATTCAGTTGACATGGTTTTGGGCTTTTATAGCTCAAGAAACATCTTGCATCACGTTAACAAGTGATGCGTTAACTCTTCGATTGGCTTCTTTTTAAAATGTGTCAAATCATCATGAATATCACTGTCTTAAGCAAATAAAAACTAGTTGTGATGGGACTTTCATCAACAGGAGCCTTGTATGTGTATTGAACAAAGACTTCTGACAAATTTAGCACATAACAGAATTTAGTTTAATTTTTATTTTTTTTTTTCATTTAATGAATCAGTCAGTAAGTAAAGTAAGCTTACCATTAGTCCTAAATGCATTAATTTGTTGACCCTCGCCTTTAGGGAGCTCTACATCAATGGTAATGAGCTGCAATGTGAGGGTGCCATTGAGCTGCTGAGACCGGTTGCTGAAAACAGCCAAAAAATGGCAGAGATCCAAAACAGGACCACATCCATCACAGGTGTGTATGTGAGTTTATCAACTTTCACTTAATTCATTCTATCAATAGTACAGATGACGGACATCGACCAACACACATTCTGTCAGGGGTGGAATGTCTGAGAAGTGACAGACTATATTCTGGTGATTGTTCGCATTAGATGACATCTGTTGGTGCAGTGTCAATTGATCGTAAAAGATCAAGATAAGACTTCTCCCTTAAGGTTTCTGTTTTTCTAAACCTCAAAGTTCTGCACGAGTGGGATATATACATGCAGTGTGTAATGTTATGCAATGGAATGTGTCGAATAACTAAGTTATTAGAATCATCTCCTCATTCTTTTTTCTCAACTTACCAGTAGACATTAAAGCGTGTAAAGTAACCTCATTTTGTGCAAAGCGATGTCATTCACTGGTTTCCTCCTTTCAGGCGAGACAGAGTTGATCTCCCAAATGAGCAATATGTCTTCCAAGCAAAAGAAAGCAAAGAACAAAGGTACTACTAATTTTCTGAACTACGGAGTTGTTTTCTCTTCCTCGAAAAACCACACCAGGAGCCTCATAAAGCCTGAGATATATATGTTATATTATTTAGCTATGTCCAAACATAAACCTATTCATACAGCCTTAAATAATAAAACCAAAACCTAGCTAAACTGTGTCCTCATATTCACAGGGTTATCACTAAGAGCTCTGAAGGGTCTTGGTTTCCCTCGTGTTAAACATCACAAAACCCCTATTGATACCACCTGAACAAATATCCTCGCTTAGGACTCCTGTTACAGCATCTTAATAACACAACAGATCCACAGACAATGTGGAGGAGAAAAAGGGAATAACATAACGGAATTGACACATATGCTCTTACATAGTCCTAGGCAGATACATCGAACTCTTTTATTCAAAGCAACTTATTTTTGTGGCTTTCTGTATAGATCATTTTGCGAGATGTAAACAACACTGGTCCAGAAGCACTCCCTGTTTCAGTTTTTTAACACATAAAAGCTGGGATAAAATACAACCAACAGAACATATAAAACTGAATCAAAAAGTTAAACAAACATCTTAAAATGTTTTCTTTACATGTGAAATAAAGAAAACAGTTACAAACTGAAACAGGAAGTGTTTCTGGACCAGTGTTGTTTACATCTTGCAAAATGAAGTAATGCATGAAGAATCGTGGCTCTTTCTGAGGGATTGGGGACCATTTCTTTCCCATTTTTGTCTCATGACAATATTGATATAATGATAAGGGTCTAATTGCAGCGATTCACATGAAAGATAATCCAAGAAGATAATTCAAAGAAAAAAAAAACACACCAGCTTTACATAAATGCATAGACAACATGCAAAGAAAACAGAAGAAACTATAAATATATTGGGTGAGAGAGCATGGATACATAGGATGTGAACTAACTGAACAAGAACTTAGGGAACATGAGAACAGACTGTGTCCGAAATCACCCTGTAAAGGGTTCTATTTGAGGGGACAACCAGTAGTGGTGTCCAGAACCATAGTGGACGTTATTATTGAGTACACTCATTCAATCCCATAATGCACCGCAATGAGTGTACAACTGATGTACATTCAATGGTTAGAGAATACCCACAATGCACTGGGTTGTGCCAAATTTATTCCTGCGTATATTCAAAATATGGCGCTTGCCGCTGAACATTTTATCCATCCATTTTCCAAACCGCTGTCATATATGAAGTAATATAGGAATAAATTGAAATGGACACTTGACCCATTTGCATTAAAGGGGTCATGAACTGGCTTTTTAAATTTTATTATATTGTTGTCTGAGGTCAACTTATGACGTTCGTTTGGTTTTTGCATTCAAAAACATCAAAATAAATACGTAATAGGCTATTTTGTTTTCTAGTTAGCCTAGCTGAAAAACGCTCGGTTTTTATGGGCGTGTCGCACTGAAGACTTGGAAGTAAACGCCCACTGCTGTGAGTGGATAACAGTTTTGAATATTATAATGAGTTTCAACTCACCCGTCGATGCATTTGGGGGAAATTGTTTTGAAAACGTCCAATGTTGTAAAATGGCAACCGAATTCGCATGTTCGACTCAGAGTCCGTGTGTTGCACAATCCCTGTTAGATCAAATATAGACGGCACAGCACCGTTCTTTACGCTTAATCGGTCTGCAAATCTAGTCTGGTTTACAAAACAATCCTCAGTGAAATGAAGCGAACAGACGGACAATGTTTTACCTCATCAGATGGAACGTCATTAAAAATAAAGTTTATCAATGCAGTCCTACTGGAATCCAAAGGAAGCATATGAAGCGACTGTCTTCTTCCACAACCAGGCACTGCACAATATTTTGTATTGCTCGGTAGATTGATTCGGTTTGTCATCACAAGGTTGGCCTATGTTATTTTAGCTATGCGTGTAATGCGTGAATCGGTGGGCGGGGTTAAACCGGCCGTGTTGAGGTAGGCGTTGATTTTCTCCTGCGGGGGTTGTGTTTTATCCTCTTTGACGTCATAGTTCCCCACTTTGAAAAACGAGTCGTTTGTTGAGGCTGGTGTCAATAAAAGCTTTTATTGGACTAACAAGGACGTTTTCAGTTCTGAAACTTACACGCCCCTCGTCTTGCTCGCCTCAATATTAATCAACTAGAAATTTTGTGTGAAATGAATTTCAAACTCTGGTGACAGTTAATGTTAACCTGGTAGACGGAAGAGTGATTTCTCTGTTTGCGCTGTTCTGGATTAGTGGGTGTGGCTTGCGGAGCTGTGCAGTGTGGTGCATTGTGGGAGTTGTTGTCTGTATACAAATGCGCCCCTTCAGTTATTTCTCTTTTCTCGGTCAAGAGGGCACCAAATTCAAAAATTATTTTACATTTCGACTACATGATCCACTTTCAATAAAGATTAATGTTGAAATGGGTGAAGTGCTCCTTAAGATTTATGTATACTATTTCCATAACAGAATCTTTTCATTACTAATAGCTGCCAGTTTGTTAAGTTTTAATTAATTATTAAACAGCAAGCACAAACTATGCAAAAGCGGCAGCTTTTCCGGTGTACTCAGTGTGCAAATACACTCAGTCGTTTTCATTCACTCCTTCAAGTGAACTATATTAATGGAGTAATGTAGGAAGTAGTGAATGAGGGTATAGGGGGTGATTTCGCACACTGCTATAGAAATCATGACAATCAAGGAAATAGGAACTAAACACACTGAGAATACAGGAACAAACGAATGAAACAAACAATAGTCTCTGAACAAACCAGACTAGCTGTGAAAATCATTACTGTTACAGTACATTTGTATTGGTGTTGTGGAAGTTAGAATATTATTAATTCTTAACAAATGTTACTTTTAATATTTGGTGCAGTCTTCCTGGTGGGTCCTCCCAATTTCTATGATGATTTCTGCCATTTACATAGGTTGCATGGTATTTAAATAAACATTTAAAAAACACATTTTGGGACTAGTAGTAGCTCCATAGCTTCACACATATTACCACACACATGCAGGGGCACTTATAAATTAATGTTTTAACACACATAAATCGATCATGTTGACAAAGGGAGGCCATAACTGAACTTGTGGCTTGTGGTAATGAGTGAATCTGGTCTCACACCCTGTTGGCCAACAAGAGAACAAAGGGACACTGTGTGTTAAAATGTACAGGCCTCTCAGTTAGAGTTAATTAATCTAGTTTCCCAGTTTAATTCTATTTTCTTGTTTATGCACTGTGTTATTATAAAAATGAATTGCATCTCTTGATGAATGGGAGGTGGTTGTGAGTCATGTAAATTTGATGTAAATTTGTCAGATTAGTCTCAGCTGTGGATGACATGTTTGTTGTGGTTAGGAAAGAAGACGAAGAAGAAAAGAGAAAAAACAAAGAGCGGTCCTGGTGCTGCAGAGGGTCCGTGGCTAGAGAAGCTGCACATGTTTGATAACTCCATTGATCACTCAGGAAAGGAGGGACCAAATCAACTAACTCAATTCTTGGAGCTCCTTTGCATGTGAGTGTACATGACTTATAGTTGATATTGTTCAAAATGTCATCTGTCTTTTCTTGGCAACTGGAGTTGTCAACACAGATGATATATTTTTGACCATAAAAGATATGCTTAAAGCTACACGCTGCTACTTCGCTTTCGGTACAACAGGAAGGACCAGAGAGAGGGCGGCAAATGATCATGAACAACTAAACTATGATTGTTTTTGGCGCAAAACAACGTTGGCTAACATTATAAGTGAACCAGAAACTGATTTCTTTGGCGACTCACCGAATATTCTTAATTAACACTGATTAAAATACCTTCTGTCTTTACAATTGGAATCGTTTACAGCTGTTACTGTTTCTCCACATGTGTTTGTATTAATTGTTTTGTTAGATGGTAGTTTGGATTGGCCACAATGAGTGAATACTTTTACCATATATCAGAACAATTGATCCTATAACGCATCAAATGTCTATAAATGTCTTTCAGTCTAGTTCAGTTCTCCAGTCACCTGACCGAACTGGATCTTGGTGAGAATCACATTGGAGAGGATGGTGGGAAAGTGCTTTTAGAGGCCCTGAGAGAGAGACAAACAGGTGTGAACTTTAATGTGATGGAAATACGACTCAAGAGGTGACCTCGTGAAAAGAGTTTAGGTGATGTAGTTACATTGTACTTACTCTAAGTACTGAGTATTATTAACTAATTACATACTTAACCCTCTAATGGTCTTCCTTTATGAGTCACGTCCTGGGCCTTCCCGGTCAGAAGTGACCGGAGGCCTAAAAATGAAACTTCTTCCATCCCAGTAAAACCAATGCAATTTATTTTTGTTCTATAATATTTATTCTTTTTAATTTAGTATTTTGAGACAATTTGATTGAATTTATTAATATTTATGCAATATTTATGGTCTATTTTTTCAATGGAAATATATATATATATATATTTCTATATATAAAGCGTAGAATCATGGTGTAACCACAAGATGACATGTACAGCTCTCTATGGAGAGGCATGTGAATTCCCCAGCTGTTTATGAACACCTTTTTTTTTTTTTTGGTGGATTTGAATATATAATTGAAACAATCTCAAAAACTATTTCTTATAAAAAAAAATTGTAAAAAAAAAAAAAATGTGAATTTTTGTGTTTTTGTCAATTTCCCATTCATTTCCTATAGGGGTCATTTTTGACCAAAGACCAAAATCGTGACTAGTTTTTTTACGACCACTTATCATGATCATGAACTCAATTTTTTTTGTGTGTTCGCATACCTAATGCCAGAAATGTCACCAAGTTTAGTAACATTCAGATGAAGCTGTGATTTTTAAAAATTCAAAACAGATTTTTTGTAGTCTGAATTTATTGGTGTGTATGCATATAAAAGTGTGTTTGTATGTGTGTGTGGGTGGGTGTAAATTTTTTGCACTCTTGATGTTGTAGAGTGTCACCCCTTTACTGCGGTATACTTCTTTTAAGAATTGTGGCTGATTTGTAGATTGTACAAACAAAAATTCAGAGAATTTTTGGGTTTTTTTGTAAATTTCCCATTCATTTCCTATGGGTCGGTCATTTCTGACTGAAGACCACGAGTGGGACTATTTTTTTTACGACCACTTAGCATGCTCGGATCATGACCTCAATTTTTTTTGTATTCACATACCAAAAAAGTCACCAAGTATCATAACCTTCCGATGAAGCTGTGATTTTTAATAATTCAAAACAGAAAATTATTCGGTCAGAAGTGACCGAGGACCATCAGAGGGATTCAGTCCGTAACTTTTTGCGCTCTAGTGGTTAATAAACAGAACTGCATGCATCTTGCGGATGAACATTGTTGCTGGAGCTACTTCTCTCTGTTTGTGTCTATGACAAGTCACACAGGTACTGGGATACGACCAGTAGTCTAAGGCCTTGTCCACACTGACACTGGCATTTTTATAACCGTGATTTTTTTTTTTCTCGTCCACACGGTATCAGTATCAGGACACTGAAACCGAACATTTTTGAAAACCCCTACTAGGGTGAGGATTTTCTGAAACGCCGGTTACAGTGTTGTCGTGTAGACACAGTAAAACCGGGGTTTTTGCCTTTTGCTGTCAGAGTGTGCACCCGTGCTGCGCTGTTATCCGCCTACCGGAACCTGTAATAACTTTTTGTTAGGCTTCTGATTGGCCAACGTGGCTTTACGGTTAGGGTTATATTGCCGCCTGCTGGTGTGGGATGCTCTTGACAGCGCTTGATAGCGTGTTTCTGCATTTTCATGTGGACAGGATTTTTTTTTTTTTTTTTACGCAGAAGGAAAAACCATGTGGAGAAGGCCTGAAATAGGGAATACCTTTTGAACAGTAAGAGCTAGTGACAAAAAAAGTTTCGTCTGATTGCTTGTGTCTAGTGAATAACATGACCTGAACATATTCAATCAGTGAATTCTGAGGATGCCATTTTTAAAAAGTAAATCGGTCTACTAATTACTTTATCTTCCCAGAATGTTCTATATCCCTAACATCTGGTAACATTTCCCTAAACAATAATAGAATTTTTTTTCTGGTCTTTAATAATGTTCTCAAAACATCAGCACTATTGTCTTACATCATTCATGGAATGTTCGTCAAACAGTTTCACATGTTAGTTTGTTTCAGAGAACATTCAAAAGTAACATTCTTGTAATACTTGCAAAATGAAATGTTCCCTTAATGTTCACATAATCCAGAGAGCATTCAGAAATAATGTTTTCATAGTCTTAGAACATATTTTTGTTAGCTGGGTTCTTTCTCATGAGTGCCACATTGGAGAGGAACGCTATTGCAAATTAATGACTTCAATTTAGATCTGTTCCTCACACAAACTATATGGTGTTTATGGATTCAGAAGACTTGATAAAAGTCTGAACATGTGCTGGTAGTGGGTGACAGGTTGCTATAATGAGATTGTTAATAATTTTCCTTCTGATTATCATCTCCTTGACAGCTAAACTATCTCCAATTAAAATCCAAGTGTCAACACGCATGTCCACAGAAACATTCAGTGCCATTTTGAAAAGCGCAAAGGAACTTAAATCTGGGAAAAAGAGAAGAAAGACAAAGGTGCGGTATATTGTGATGCTGAATAATGTACAGTAGCCCTAAATAGGATTTGGTAATGCCTGTATAAATCTGTAAACGAATTATGAGCTTTTATCAGAACTAGGCAATCTCTTTATCTTTGCAACATTTATTTTTTTAAGTCATAAGGCTTCAAATCATTTTTAGGGACACTGTATTTGCTTGAAATATCTTTAAAATGAATTCTTAGAATAATATATAATAAAGTTCTGTCTCATTTGATCATTTCTAGGGGGGAAAAAAGTAATGCATCTGTCTGGAGGATATTGAAAGTATGTTGTTTACACAATGTTTTTTCAAACTATTTCCAGTCTCATCCCAAGACGTCATTCAACTGACGTGTTGGGACGTCTTTTGACCATACGTCAACATCCGCCTTTTTAGGGTAACCTAAAACGTCGGTTATAGCTGACGTTATCGGATCCTAACCCTACCCCAGACCTAAACCTACCCCTAAAGCGTCAGTTGTATGGCGGCCCGGGATCGTCATTTAAGGGTACCCTAAAAAGGCGGATGTTGACGTATGGTCAAAAGACGTCCCAAGACGCGAGTCGTATGACTTTTTGGGATGAGACTTTGTTATTTCATCATGTTTTCAGTTTGTTGCCAATGTTTTTTTTGGGAATCATCCTCTTTAAGAATTGTGTTCGACAACAGCCGCACACCAAATGTGAGCGCACAACAGACTCGTTATGAAGCATGAATTTGTCAGTGATGCAGCATGGTTTCTAATCGGATCTTATTTTTGTTGTCACTCTATTGGGAGCTCGAAATAGCATAAGGGTGTTTGTTTTTCTTTAGTGCTTCTTCCGTTTCCTTCTCCTTTCAAATCTTTGCTGACAAAAAGTCCTTCTTTTTTTTTTTTCTTTTTTTTTTTCGTAACAGCCTAATTAATGCAATGTTTATATTTTACAGAATAATGTGGGGAAAAAAGTGTTTAGCATTTATTTGTGTGGTTTTGTGCGTGTCTGCCCGAGCAGAGCAGACTCGTAGATATTTTTTCTGGTAAATTTGGTTTTGTCTCCACCCTATGGCCAAGAATGATACTGCACTGTTGTATTCATTTCGCCTGTTTTACTTTTGGTTCTATTACCTCACAAAATAAAGAGAATCCAAACATGAACTTTGACTGCTTAATGTATAATTTGTTTTATCTAGCTTACATTTAATAAGGAATGACTGATTGTATGGCTCCAAAATATAATGGTGTAAAATAATAAAATGCCAATCAAAATGCTAATCAAATCGTCTAAACCACCTATCATATTTCAGATCTTTTTGTCACCACCACAATGATCAGTTATCAATATATTGTAAGCCAATGGACCTTACTGGGATTAGGCCTATACTTGATTTTTTTCTGAAAAAAAAAATAGGTTTTTCTAAATTGCAAATTTGATTTTAGCAAAATATTTTAACTAATTCAGAACTGTATATCTGAACAAGTTTTTGTCCTGTGACAGAATTATGCAGAAACAGATAAACATTTATTGTGTTTCCATGAAAAATGAGAGAGAAGTAGGCTAGTAGCCTAGTATTTTTATCTGTCAGTCAAAGTTGTATAAGTTATAAACTGTAAGATTTATATTCATGTATGACATCTTTAAGTTTTAGGCGCCTATATCAAAACAAATAATATCAATATTTATTCAGAAAGATAAAACACATCAGAATGAATTAAACACAGAAAATACAGTCTCCCCTACTTGTCTCCCCTGATAAATCATTGTTTTGTCCGCAGCCACAAGGAGTCGCTGTGATTTATTCACGCAGCAAAATACACTCATCTAAAGGATTATTAGGAACACCATACTAATACTGTGTTTGATCCCCTTTCACCTTCAGAACTGCCTTAATTATACATGGCATTGATTCAACAAGGAGCTGAAAGCATTCTTTAGAAATGTTGGCCCATATTGATAGGATAGCATCTTGCAGTTGATGGAGATTTGTGGGATGCACATCCAGGGCACGAAGTTCCCATTCCACCACATCCCAAAGATGCTCTATTGGGTTGAGATCTGGTGACTGTGGGGGCCATTTTAGTACAGTGAACTCATTGACATGTTCAAGAAACCAATTTGAAATTATTCGAGCTTTGTGACATGGTGCATTATCCTGCTGAAAGTAGCCATCAGACGATGGGTACATGGTGGCCATAAAGGGATGGACATGGTCAGAAACAATGCTCAGGTAGGCCATGGCATTTAAACGATGGCCAATTGGCACTGAGGGAGTCTAAAGTGTGCCAAGAAAACATCCCCCACACCATTACACCACCAGCAGCCTGCACAGTGGTAACAAGGCATGATGGATCCATGTTCTCATTCTGTTTACGCCAAATTCAGACTCTACCATCTGAATGTCTCAACAGAAATCGAGACTCATCAGACCAAGCAACATTTTTCCAATCTTCAACTGTCCAATTTTGGTGAGCTCTTTGCAAATTGTAGCCTCTCTTTCCTATTTGTAGTGGAGATGAGTGGTACCCGGTGGGGTCTTCTGCTGCTGTAGCCCATCCGCCTCAAGGTTGTGTGTGTTGTGGCTTCATCAAATGCTTTGCTGCATATTCCTCGGTTGTAACGAGTGTTTATTTCAGTCAAAGTTGCTCTTCTTTCGGCTTGAATCAGTCGGCCCGTTCTCCTCTGACCTCTAGCATCAACAAGGCATTTTCGCCCACAGGTCTGTCGCATACTGGATGTTTTTCCCTTTTTACACCATTCTTTGTAAACCCTAGAAATGGTTGTGCATGAAAATCCCAGTAAAATACTCATAAAATACTGTGAAATACTTAGACTGGCCTGTCTGGGTGGGTGGGATGGGTAGGATTAGGGGTGGGGTTGGATCTGGATCCAACTCCTCCCCCTGGATTGAAATACAAGCAGAAGCAAGCAGGATATGGACATACAGGATTGAACAGCATATTAGTTATTATTGGAAACATGCTGATGGTATACGTGAGTTTGGGAACCAAGGAGGAACTATAGACATTATAGAACATTGTCCAAAATACAATCAGAAAAGACAAACACTTACAGAACAGTTAGTGAAAGTAAAAATAAAACTGAATGTTATGATATATTATGTTAAGATATATTGCAAAGAAATTCTGGGGAACGATGTTTATTACTTAAAAACAACAGGTTTATTCCATAGAGTGTAGCTATGTTGAATTCAGATCCACACTCCTATTCATAAGGTGGCGGTAATGCACCTAAAAGCTGTTTGTCAACCGCCAAAAAAGAAGAAGAAGGTCACGCATGCGCACAAACTATTTCCATTCATTTCTACGGAGTGGAGAAGGATTTGTACTCATTACCTCTCCACACTTTAATACAGAGCTACAGTAAATTTATCATGGATTTGGAAGGTGGCAATTATGAACCTGGTTTTGTGGGCATCAGGTTCTGTCAGGAGTGGTGAGTTTAGATGAGTTTACGCATGTTGCTGATCTGATGTGCGTATTTGTTTTGATGGCAATATTGGTTCTAATCTGTGAATCTCTCTTTCTCTCTTCATAGTAATAACATGTTGTATCCTAAAGAGGATAAAGAAAACCGCATTCTGCTCTATGCGGTAAGTTATTTTGTTACGTGAATAACGTTAGACCTTTAATCCACGGTAGAGTGTTGTTTAATACATTAGTTTGTCTTACGTCGATTGGCTCAGACATGTTTACATTTTGATTTAAATACAAATGTGATATAACTAACTAACGTTTAATCATTTGTAATGCATTAAGCTAACTTTTGAGAATACGTGCTAAGAGGTTGATGGTGTTAACAGTATAAGCTAAGAGGTTTAACATGGGGGTAACGTTAGTGTTCAAAAATCGACAGTCCCTTACTTGTGTGTGTTCATGTATGTTTTCAGTGCAGAAACTGTGACTATCAACAGGAAGCCGACAACAGCTGCATCTATGTGAACAAAATCACCCATGAGGTCGAGTAAGTGTCTTGCTATGTTGTTGTGTTTTTTACAGAGAAGTTGCGAAATGTATTGACATCAGTATTATTAACAAGTGACATGGCATCTTACGCAAGGAGCCATCGGCACGTTTAGTGGTTCCTCATATGGTTGGTCAGAGAGAATCGGCACTACCAGAGAATTGGCATTGACAGTTTTTTTAATGGAATATTCATTGCTGTGTTTATTATAAATTATTTATTAGTGCGTATATTTTTTTTGTTGTTGTAAATTCATATGCCCTTATCTCCAATCAAAAGAAACTTCTCTTCTCTGAGATGTGTTTACTGGCATGAGGGCGGGACAACCTGTCACTCACATGAATCACAGCAATAGCAAACCATCCAATCAATATTAGTACAATACGTAAGCCACCAAACGACTTCATTCAGATCATTTTTATTTAATAAGATAAAGTTCTGTCTGTCAATTTGACATCTTCAATATCCATCTTCTTTGGTCCCCTCCCTTCAATAGTTTTAATAGAAATAAAAAATTTCAAATAAAAATATTTGCACATTTCAATGTTTTCACATGTAATCCGAATCTAACTGTTTTTTTGAGCAGTTTTTAAGAGCAATGACCTTACTAGCACCCTAATGAACAAGTCATAGGTGACAGAATACAGTTATGGAATGTAATTCTTCTAAGTCATATTTATATTGTTATGATAATTCATAAATTAGCTATTAGCGTATAACTTGGCGCTATGGAGTTGTGAACAATTTTCGTTGTGAAATAGCCTACACAAAAAAGTAAGACGGTTAGGACGGCCAGTATTATCGACCGTGTGTAACAGGTGATCTCCCAGGTAATGATGATTCAGGTTGCTTTAAAGGGATACTCCACTTTTTTTGAAAATAGGCTCATTTTACAACTCCCTCAGAGTTAAACAGTTTTACCATTTTCGAATCCATTCAGCTGATTTTCTGATATTTAGAAGAATATCAGTAACCAGACAGTTTCTGGTCCCATTGACTTCCGTAGTAGGAAATATATAAGTTGAGTATCCCTTTAAGTAACCTTCTTCACTCTCTCATAGCATTAGACACATGACTGCTGCTGCTGTCTTTATTATCAGTCATGTTGTATTGAACGAGTGCGCTGGCAGGGAAGAATTGGCATTATATAGCTTTGATTCTAATCGCGAGCGAAAGTTTAGTTGCATCGCAGGCGCAGCCAGCCTGCATTTTCATGTTAAATTAACGTGGGCAGAGTTGTGTGTTCAGAAATATGCGAGAACATGCTTCCTGTACAGTTTACTGCACACCAAAGAGAGAGAAATGCGTTTTTTTAATATTACAGCCAGAAAAAAAAAGATTTCAAATTATTATTATTATTATTATTTACTGCATTATAAGCGCAGCTCTGTATAATGTTTATCGGCTGAAGATATTTTTCTAGAAGCCTTAACCTTATCTCGTCCCGCTTTTCTGCAAGTGAACTCACTCAGATTATCGCAGACGTGGCCCAAGATCCAACACTGCCTCGGACGGAGGACCACCCATGCCCAAAGTGAGTGATGAATATGTTTCTTAATGTAGATGTACATCAATAAAATGTTATGATGGCCATTTTAACGATTCTGTTTTTTTTAGGTGTGGCCACAAGGAGGCGGTGTTCTTCCAGTCTCACAGCATGAAGGCTGAGGTAATCTTTCATGCACATTATACATTGAATCCACGTGGCTAAGTTTAAAAATGCTTATATTTTGGTGATTTTAAACGGACTATACGTAATATGAATTCTTCTGTTAATTTTAATTACAGCGATATCAAATAATACCCAGTGAAAACTGAAACTTAAGAGGTGCGTTTTGATTTTCTGAATGCAGGATGCCATGAGGCTTTACTATGTCTGCACCGCCCCACACTGCGGCCACAGATGGACTGAATGAGAAGGATAAAGCCATGAATGTCAAAAGATGAGGACGTACTCTGCGGTCCCATCTCACTATTGCTCCATTCCTACATGTTATTTCTCAGGTTAGGGGACATATGATGTGGAGTGGACATATCTGGTCAGTGACCCAATTGTAGGTCACTGATACATTTGTGAATAAACTAGTGTTTAATTTTAAATTTTCCCTCTGACCGCGAGACCGAAGTCCGAGACCTTTTTCCCTCAAGGATCTTTATAGTTTCTCATTTTAATATTTCACACTGTATTTTTTGAAGGTTTGTAATAAAAGATTACAAAAACTGAATTTTTATTTTTTTTTAAAGTTTAAATTTATAGGGATCCTATTATGCCCTTTTACAAAGTCTTGATTTTGTTTTTGGGTTCTGCTCTAGATATATTAAGGATGGCATCCATTTCAAACCAATTTGAGCCAGATTCAGACCCTGACTATGTTAACAAATGAGATTTCATGCACAGACTTAGATAGCATGGATTTCACAGGACATTTGAGTGATATGTTTTTTGTAATTTTCTTATACGTTGATAATCGTCATTGATAATCCATTTAATCGTGATATTTGTCGGAAAACTAAGACATTACAAACAGTAATCGATCACAACTCTAATGCAGCTCGACCAGGCCTCGTCCCCTTTTTTGCGTGTTCCGTGGGTGGGTATTATTTTAAATGAGTAACATTATGATCCGGAAAAATCGCGTTGTAGTCAAAATGAGCCGTTCGTTGTACAGTAATTGCCGAAAAGGGGATTTTGTTAAAGATATCTCCCTTTGGAGTAGACTGACCTTGTGACCTTGCACATTTTTTTAATGCTCAAATAGCAACATTACACACTAACTAAAGCTGAAAAAGTGGAAAAGCATAATAGCTCGCCTTTAAACGTCAGAGATTTTGATAACAGATACTGTCTATTCCATGGTGGTTAAAAGAGTAGAAATAAACTGAATAAAATCTAAATTGTTCAAAATCTTTTTTCGAGTCATGACTCGAAGGGTCCTTGATAAGACCCTTATTCATCGTCTGGTGTCATTTAAAGCCCTTTGAAGCAACACCGAAACTCTCGTTTGGACCTTGAACCGTTTGGTTCCCAATGAAGTCCATTATATGAAGAAAATCCTGGAATGTTTTCATCAAAAACCTTAATTTCTTTTCAAAAGAAGAAAGAAAGACATGGACATCTTCAATGACACAAGGGGGTGAGTAAATTATCAGCAAAAGTTTTTTTTTTTTTTTTAAAGTGAACTCCTTTCATAGTTGAGCTGTGTTTTTAGAGTACTTTTACACACAAGCTGCTGATGATTGGTCTTCTCAGTATTTCAGAGTGGCATGTTTCACAAGCAAGCTAGATTTGAAAGCATTAGATCCCACCCTCCTTTCCACTGTTGGGAAAGCTGCTCTTAAACTAGTTTGACAAGCTACTCATAAGTTAAGATCAAGCTACACAATCAGATCAGGCTACACAAACTTAAAAAAGCATGTTTTTCAATGGCTCTGTATATTACAAATGCCTGAATAATTGTTAATCATGAAGGATTTAAGTAAATTAATTAATGCAATGCAATTATGATTTCAAAGAGTATTGTTTTATTTTGTAAACTGAGACGTGGATCATGAGCAGTGTGAACAGTGCGCTTCACTCCAAAACCACTCCTCCACTACTGGGCAGTGGCTCTGTACTTCCCAGCATGCTGCAAGGGTATGCATGGGGAGAGTAAATTTGGGGATTAAGTGTTATGTTATGTTTTTTTTTTCAGGAATGGGAAAGATGTTGGTAGTCAATGTGTAATGTTAAGTTATGTTGGACATTTAGAGGAGTTTCTAATAATGAATTATGTGGCTACCGTCGTGCTGAGGAATAGTGACAGTCAAAGTTCTATACCAGAGTATCAGTACTCTATTCATGTGCATTGTGTATAAAGATTAAGGCTTTAAATTAATTCGACCTAATGCAACTAAGTTGTGTTGACCAAAAACAAAGGTAAAAATTCTTAAATTAATTTAAGAAATTCATTTTTGAGTGTATTTACTGTACATCAAGGTGGAAAAGGACTTTCATCATATTAAACAAAAAAAGTAATTTGCCTTGATGGAGAAATCTGGATTATATCTACTGACTGACAGTTATGTTTCCTGAATAGTTTTTTTCAGGTTAGTTGAATCTTAAATAATTTATTTCAGTTCAACAAAAGCAGTTATTTTAGATGTTACCACATGAAGTATATTTTCAAAGAAGTATACAAATATACATATTGCAAAATATTGCATGAGGGTTAGCAAAAGCTGTATGACATTTTGGATTAATTATCCCTTTAAATCTAATACAACGGAATTTACACTTTTGGGGTCTCTCAGTAATGAAGTCATGAGTAATCACAAGGTTTGACTTGTTCTCATGTTCAGAGATTGTGTAATTGTTGTGTAGCCTAACTGCCTCTTTTCATGCCAAGATGCCATGCACTTCTGTTATTTTTGCAATGGAAAATATCACCATTCATTCACAGTGGCATTTCCATGATCTATAAAAAGCTTGTGCACAATGGGCTAATTTCTTCTTCAAATATTATTGCAGGAATCTTTGCACGAGACAGGAAAGTACGCGGAAGTATCAACAACACGTGTGTGTGTCCCTCCCTGTCAGTCAAAGCTAATAAACTTGTCAGTTTGCAAGTCATGAAGCTTATATACGTCGGCTCTTGAAAGAAAAGTTTGTCGCTGATATGGACGGACTCACACCTGGAGAAACCGTGGACATGAACTCGGGTGAGACGTGCAGCAATCATCCACAAGCGATCGCGCGCATAGCCTATGTCATTTCTAGCATTTTGATCTGATCACACTGGTGTTTTGCAGCGGATGTAGTGTGTCGTCGTGCTTGGAATGCAGTGGATCCTCGAGACAGGACAGCGATGAAGAGTCCCGCACAGAATGTGATCGTTCACCACACGGCTCTCCTGTTCTGCTCGCGTCCGCGCGACAGCGTCTCCCAGCTCGCGCACATCCAGCGCATGCACATGCAGGAGAGGGGCTTCGACGACATCGGTTATAAGTAAGATGTTAGAACACTACATTTATCTTCTGACCACGCGTTTATTTCGTATCTAAGAAACACAAATATTTGTAATTGTTTTGCTGAACTAGGCTTGTATAAACTTTGTTTGGAATTCCAGTGACGTGACTCCTTTTTGTCCGGTCAGACCATTTAAATGCGATTTAAACTAAAACAAACAAAAGAAAAATGTAGGACGTTTTCCATGATGAACACGTTTATTTTCTGAATTAAAAAATGGGTAGCACTTTATTTTACAGTCCTGTTCCCCATGATGCAGCTTCATATGTAGGCTACTTATAGTAATTGCAATAATAACAAACCGTGACCCGTAGTTACATTAGGCCTATATTACCCAGCTTTCTTGGGTAATTACACTGTAAGTAGTCTACTTGTAAGTGCATGTAGTCTACTATAAAATAAAGTGCAACTAAAATATTTTGCAAACATTATGGAACGTTTGAATGTTCTCTGAACATTCTGAAAAAAAAAAAACATTAGATTGCGTCCAACTAAAATGTGTCAGAAAAAAAGGTTTTTATGCCAACATTATTAAGTTTAAACAAACGTTATTTTAATGTTACTGAAAGAACTATGAGACAACCTTGCCAGAACGGAAGTTCTGAGAATGTTCCCTTTTATTTGAGCAGTGATTGTATTTAAGGGAAAAAAATCTCATTATTAGACAGAAATTCTGTGTGTGTATATATACAGAATGTCTGTCTATTAATGATATATATATATATATATATATATATATATATATATAGGAAGCCATTTCTGGCTCGTTTTTTTTAATAAACACATATCTTCATCTTTCTATAAAAAGGCATGTTTTGTTCAGTTTAAATTCTGCATAAGCGGACAGCCTCTAGTCTATAGATTAATCATCAACTCTGTGTTCCTCCAGCTTTCTGATCTCTGGAGATGGGGTGGTGTATGAAGGGCGGGGATGGGGGATTGTAGGGGCCCATGCAAAGGAACACAACTTAAATTCTGTTGGCATCGCCTTCATGGGTAACTTCAATGGTGAGCATACGACTACCTCTATAACATTAGTTTTCATCTTTTATTTATTGTCTTTTGTGGTATTTATTACACAATTGTGATAATTAGTGGTTTTGTAAATTGAAAGAGAAATCATGCATAAAAATTTCATAGTAATGAAGTAGGCCACTGAACCAAAGTTCACACATCATAAAGAAGATATGTTGTATTTTCTATTTGTCTGTAGATGAATTGCCCAGTTCTGCATCACTGTCCGCTCTGCTGAGACTGCTGCACTTTGGAGTGCTTCACGGTCATGTGCACCCCAATTTTGTGCTTGTGGGACATAGAGACGTGGCAAAGACTGAGTGTCCGGGCGAACATTTATACGCTCTGCTACCAAAACTAAGAGACCAATTAAGAAACCAAATGATGACTGCACAAGTTGCATTAATCCCCTGTGAAAGTCTCAGAATCAGTTCGGAACCTGGACATAAATAAGAGTCGTCAAACATGATCCTGAAAAGAAAATAGACTATGAAACTTGAAAATTCTGTTTATCCAGTAAGATCCATGTTCCAGATCAATAATTATTTTTTTTCTTGACTAGACTATAGGCTATATTATGATATGTTTTCATTTCTCTGCACACACACACACAAATACTTAAAATAGACTGTACAGTGACGTGTAATAATTTAGAACTCTGGCTATAAACAATGTATATGCAAATACATTTGTAAAGGCTAAAAGAGATGTACTTGTGAGCTCATTGATAAGGATTTTTTTTATGTTTGCCAAAAAGCAGAAGCGAACTTTTAATGTCTTTTAAACTTTTATAGATTTTATTACTGTTTGCCATACTTGTCTAATTTATATGCACTTTAGGTAATGATTAGACAAATATGTGATTATTTTACTTTATCTGTTGTTTAGTACTTGTATTATCTACTGTAACCTGGTCGCATTATATAATAATTGTCTTAAACAATCATTTGATACAATGCACTTATTGTTTACATACATGTTACTGTACTTTACTTATACTTAAAATACCTGCATGTAATTATTATTTGTATAAGTAGCTAATTAAACTGAACAATGAATTGTCTGCACGATGCCACTAAACATCTAACAGTTTGACCAATTAGAAATGAGCTACAGGGTGAGGTAACCATCACACTGCTAAGGTCATTGAAATTGCAAGCTCTCAATGAAGGAATTCGGACAAAAACTAAATTTGAAGAAATGTCTCTAATTTAACATTTTGCTTATAATGCTTATCATTTAAGTGCCTTTAACTAGGCCACAATATACGAATATTTAAATTTATCATTACAATGCACTTACATGTTTTTACAATAACAGCATTGGAAACACTTTATTTTATTGTGTCCGTTAAATATGTTACATGTACTTACCATGGTAATAACAATAAATTATGCATGCATGCACTAATCCTAAACCAAACCATAATCCTAACCTAACCCTGTTGCTAACTAAAATTACTCACTAGAATGTATAACTTTAATATACGAAATTACACTGTAACAATGACAGCTTAAAAAAAATGTAACCGCATCGTTTTAAACTACAATATGAACACAATCAGTAGGCTATATTTTTACTATGTTGGTTAATGACACCTAAAATAAAGTTTGACCTAAAAATTCCAATGTATGAACAGGTATCATATGAATAGGCATGTCTTGATTAATTTGATATATAGCTAACATCTAGCCTTTCATATAGGCCTAATTTAGTTCATGCGCAAAATTTAAAACGTTCTTTTTTTTTTCTAATGTTGTCCAACTCACTCCGATTAGATTGTAAACAGGCCTATACTTGTAGGCCTGACATTAATTTGCATTTTACGAGCATATTTGAGCATATGAGCATATTTCAAAACAATGTTAATTTGAAGCAGACAAATGGGAATATTTTATCAAATTTCGAAGCACATGGGGGGGAAAAAAGCACCGAGTTACGTTAAAATGTTTATTTTTTTGCACGGTCCGTGAAGGACACGCTCCTCTGTTTGTTCATCCTCCAGAGATTAGGTTCATGTCCATCCTAAGCTGTTTGTTTACTCACATCTCCAAGTGTTGTCGTATATCAGAACTCCTTAGCATAACGTCTTTTTGCCTCACTCGCTTCTGACAGGCATTCAATCAGATGAATGTGTAAACAGAAGGGCGGTCTCAGGTGAGAGGCTTGAGTTTCACCGGCTTTCGAAGTGTTATAATTGAGCCTTCGAGTTCATTGATCAGTCAGAGAGATTGGCTGTGCCGGAAACTTATCAGATCTTTTTGTTTTTCCGCGAGCGTTTCCGAAGAATGGCCGTGCGCTTTCTAGGTTTTTTTCGCAACTTTTAAGTCCTGTTGGACACATTTAGGAGCGTGTTTGTATTGTTAAACATGGAGGAACTAAAATCCCCCGTGAGTTTTTTCCACAAGTCGTCTTTCAGCATTAGTAGTTTACTGCTCCGACACGAGCGCGCGAGGAGCGACTCGAGCGCCGCACCGGAAGCTCTGCGCTCTCGAGCCGCAAAGCCACCCATCGCGCGCTCCCATCACCAGCAGACAAATGACGGGCAAGACAAGCAGATTCCAAAACGGAACGAAGCGAACAGACCGGATAAAAAGGAGTCTGGGAGAGTTGGAGAGCAAACGTGTGAAGGAACAGATGGACAGTCACCGGAGAAGAAGAGCAAGCCCGATAAGCCTCCGTTTAGTTATAACGCGCTTATCATGATGGCCATCCGCCAGAGCCCGGAGCGACGGCTCACCCTCAACGGCATCTATGAGTTCATTATGGGCAACTTCCCGTACTACCGAGAAAACAGGCAGGGTTGGCAGAACTCCATCCGGCACAACCTGAGCCTCAACAAGTGCTTCGTCAAGGTCCCGCGCCACTACGACGACCCGGGAAAAGGCAACTACTGGATGCTGGACCCGTCCAGCGATGACGTATTCATCGGCGGAACCACTGGGAAACTCCGGCGCCGGTCTACAGCCGCGTCTCGAGCCAAGCTGGCCATGAAGAGAGGCGCACGTCTCTCCTCCTCCGCCGCCACCGCAGGACTGGCATTCGCAGGCTCGTTTTACTGGCCCGTCCCGCCGTTCGTGACTCTCCAGCATCGTCACCCGAGCTCCGCGGCTCACCACAACAACTACGCCGCGTCGGTTCTGTCCCAGAGCTCGCGCCACTTCAGCTCGGTCGGTCCCGCCGCGGAAAGATTGCTTCTCCCGTCCGCCCAAGAGGCAGCTTATTATGGAATGGGCTGTGAACAGATGACCTCCACCTCCTCCTTCTCCACATCTGCCTCCGTGCCTCTGCCTCTCTCTGCTCCCCGCTCTTTCAATTTACTTTCCAATCAGTCCAGTTACTTTTACTCTCACCAGGTGCCTCACACAGCGGGGCTGTCACCCTGGTCGCAGGAGGAATCGTACCTCTCCAAAACATCTCCTCCTGGACAGTTATTCCCTGGAAAGCCATCTCCTTCTTCTGAATACATTGGAGGACTATGTTCAGACATTCCCAGTTATTTTCCTCATTTTAACACAGCCAACTCCATGCACTGAACATTGAAGAGAATAGAAACGCAGCTCATGTGCAATCTTTTTATCCATTATTTAATTTCATGTGAAGCCAAATATTTGTGGCCAAACAAGTTTTCTTTTGTAACATCCAGTTGTTTACAGTTTAGTTACCACAAAAGCGAGTTACGCAAATATTTGTATGCACGTGACGTCTCAACTAAACGTGCCGATCTGAAAGTCAATGCACTTCTGAAAAAAAGGAAGTGCATTGCTCCACATATGTCTCTTTTTAATGTCTGCTGGGTTTTCTTTAGAAGGCAGTTTGTATGTAGGCGATACCAAAAAGAAAAGATTAACTGCATGATTCTGTCCGGTGCTTTTTCATAAGATGTCTTCGTGTTGTTCAGCATTTACAGTCACTCACATAATCTTAATACTGTAAATTTTTGTCTAAGAAGAAGCCTACAGGAGTTCATGACTCTCTGCAGTCATTAAAAATCCCAGGATGTCCTTCGGAAAAAGACTACGGCATCTTGCACAAATTTGCCAATTGGCCTCTGTCCATCATGGCCTCCTATAAACACGGATTGGCTTCATCACTGTCTCCTCTCCACCAGTAAGCTGGTGTGTGGTGGACTATGGCGCAGTGTGGCTGCCGTCGCATCATCCAGGTGGATGCTGGACATTGGTGGTGGTTGAGGAGATTCTCCCTTCCATATGTAAAGCGCTTTAGAAGAGCGCTATATAAATGTAACAAACTATTATTATTATGACAATTAATTGTTTATTAATTGTTTTGTGAATCTGCAATTTCAAATTTGCAGACAGGTGATAACATATCGGTATAATTACAATAAGGTTTCATTTGTTAACATTATCAAATACATGAACTAACAAAGAACAATACTTCTACAGCATTTATTAAAATTAGCTAATGTTATTATCAACATGTACTAATACATTTTTAAGATACAAAAATTGCGTCTAACATGCACTTTGAAGTGGAACTGACATTTTTATTAACATAACAAAGGTTAATAAATACTGTATTGCTTATTGTTAGTTAGTTCATGTTACTTAATGCTTCAACTTGTGTTAACAAATGAAACCTATTGTAAAGTGTTACCAACTTTTCATATATTCAAAATGTGTATGTAAAAATATCCTTTATTTATTAGTTTTCGACGCGATTTAAAAATTTACTTATTTTTGCTTTCAATTAACAACAACATCCCTATACAAATATGTGAAAATATGTTAATTTAATGTTTCTACTCTTTTATCATTTTATTTTGTACGGCACTTTGATATTCTTGATTCATAATAGAACAAATAAAAGCCTATGTATTGTACAATACAAAGCTGGAGTTCATGTGCTTAAACCTCGACTCGTGAATTAATATTATCCATTTATTCAACGATGCAGGGAATTTAGAGCAGAAAAACAATTTAGAAAAAAATTGTAATTTTTTATGAAATGGTTTATGTGTGTATTCAACAATATGCAGATAAATATCTGATTAGCCGTCCATATAAGAAATGTGAAAATATTGTACAGTGCTTTGTTTTTCCACGTCTTTCTCCCCTGTCATTCACACACACACACACACACACACACACTGTCTGAGGGTCTCTAGAGTGCGATCACAGCCTCAGCTCAGTAATGAAGTGGGTCTCCTTTTTCAAATGGCAGAGGAGGGGAGAGATAAAAAGAGATGATAGAAGGAAATTCAGAGAAAGAGAGAATCCAACCACAGCACGCTAGAAATAAAAATCACGTTCATCAGATTACACCACTTCAAATAGACACAAGTGGTTTTTCACATTTGTACAAGCTGTGGTAATTGAGTGAGCTAGATGAAAAGTGTTGCCCTTGAACTAAGGAAACCAGTTGAGTCCAGATCTCACCTCGCTGAATGACCGATCTTAGCAGACCTCACATGCCCTCGTCTGAACAATCAGTCTGTCTTTCCAGTTTTAAAATCATTGAATTTATATATATATATATATATATATATATATATATATATATGGTAACACTTTATTTGAAGGGGTGTGCATAAGACTGACATGACACCTTCATAACCATGACATGAAATATGTAATGAATATGAAGTAGGGTTATGCATGTTCATTAAGTGTCTTTCGCTCAATAATGGCATTTTGAATGCAAATATGACATCTTGACTTAAACCATAACATCATAACCTGTCAGTGTCTTTGTCATGACAACTTGACATTAAGTTAAACTGTCATGTGGTTGGCTTTGACATTGGCTGTCATGAGGTAACACAGTCTCATCCCAAGTCGTCATATAACTGACGTCTTGGGACATCTTTTGACCATACGTCAACATCTGCCTTTTTAGGGTACCCTTAAACGTCGGTTAGTTGACGATCCCGGGCCGTCATAACTGACGCTTTACCTTTAACGTCAGTTAGTTTTAGGGGTAGGTTTAGGTCTGGGGTAGGGTTTGGATCCGATAACGTCATCTAACCGACGTTAAAGGGTACCCTAAAAAGGCGGACGTTGACGTATGGTCAAAAGACATCATATAACTGACGTCTTGGGATGAGACATTATAACTGTTTTAATGAATCTTTTTCGTGACCTCAAATACAGTGGTACTAATTGAATTTGTCATTAAAAGTTATAATGGCTTCATGGCAGGCAATGTCAAAACCAACCACCTGATAGTTTAATGTAATGTTAACCAATAAAGCGAGGTGGTTTCTTAAATGTCATGTTTATGACAGGTTGTGTTGTCTTAGTAATGTCAAGTTGTCATGACAAAGACACTGACAGGTTATGATTTATTGGTTTATGTCAAGATGTCATAACAAAGACATTTCAAACAATGTCATATTTGCATTAAAAATGTCATAACTGAGCGAATGACACTTAATGACAGTTGTCACAAACATGCATAAAACGTCCTTCATATTCATAACATATGTCATGTCATGATTATGAAGGTGTCATGTTAGTCTTATGCACACCCCTTCAAGTAAAGTGTTACCGATCTGGTTAAAGCAAGCAGAGAGATTTATGTTCCTCCGCTGACTACGCAAGTTCATAAAGAGATTGTAAAACTAATCCATATGAATTGAGCGGTTTAGTCAAAAATTTCTAAAGAAACTCAATCGCAATCAACAGATAGAATTTAGGCTTTTACTCACATATAAATATTGATCAACGAACAGAAGCTCAGCCGAACCTCCTTGAAGTGTGAGAGCTAACCTCACAGGTTAAACGGCTTGCCATGCACGCACTTCCCATTTCCCATCAAAAACGCAACCATCCTGTCAGGTCTAATTACACTTAGGCTGAATTAGGGTAAGGCAAAAACACTTTTTGGATATGTGATGTATTGACTATATTTATTTTGTACAAAAAGTTAGTGTAGCCTACCTTTAATAAATACTATTATTGTGTATCTCATATAATACTGTTTGCAATGCAACAGAATAAATGCAGTGTACCTATAACAATTATTTATATTGTTATTATTTTATTTATTATTTACTTATTAATTTGTTTTGACATATATTTAAAAACACACCTAATATTAAGTGGGACTCTAGCACTGTAAAAAAAAAAATTATGTGCTACTTAAAAAAATTATGATAACAATATTACACATCATATTTTTTAGTTGTTTTCTTGATTTCTTTCATGGAATCTACCTAAATAAATCATGTAAAATCCCCTAAATTAAAAATGAATTTAATATTTTTTTTGAGTGAAATATGCTTTTTTATTTTAAGACAGTATAAACTAAACAGTATAAACATAAGCAGTTATTCACAAAATAACCATAAGCCCCACTCTTCTGCACAATGGTAATGATCAGAACATCAATATAATAGAAACTCTTTTAAATGTTAAACATAACTGAACATGAAACATAAAAGGAAAACATTCCAGGATTTTTCACCATATAATGGACTTCAATGGGAACCAAACGGTTCAAGGTCCAAAAGACAGTTTTAGTGCAAACTGCAAACTTTTCAAAGGTCTTTAAATGACTCCAGACGATGAATTAGGGTCTTATCAAGCGAAACGATCACTCATTTAAAAAAAAAAAAGGTTTAAGTTTTATAAGCTCAAATGGTCGCCTTGCTCTGTTCTGTGTTCGTGAATTCAACATATTCAAACTCGTTCATCAAAATGAACTAATCTTTTCCAGAGTCAACTCGTTCATTTTGTTCGCTGAATGAACCAAATTACACGAAAAAAGATTTGTTCATTTTGATAAACTATTTCTAACAGGAGAGTCACAAACGTGCTTCACAGAACAGACCAAGGCGACCATTTGAGCTTAAAAAAACGTATTCACCCTTATTCATCGTCTCAAATCGAACAGTTTGAACAGTTTGCAGTTTGCACTGAAACTGTCTTTTGGACCTTGAACCGTTTGGTTCCCATTGAAGTCATTATATGGAGAAAAATCCTTAAATGTTTTCATCAAAAACCTTAATTTCTTTTCAACAGAAGAAAGAATGATATGGATATCTGATGACATGGGGTGAGTAAAGTATCAGCAACAGTTTTTTTAAAAGTGAACTATTCCTTTAACAGATGATTCCCTTTACTCAAAAAAACACACACAAAACAGCACTTAATTTCAATATATACTCTCCATTTCCAGCCATATGGAAAGCATGCTGGGTACTAACGGTGTCTCTAAATAAAACCTGCAAAATTGAACTAATTATTGTTGTATCAAAAATCCTTTCAAACATCATCACTGCGCGTAAGAGACACTCAGAGTCAAATTAATAAAAAGAGAAGTATTTTATTCTTGCAAGAATAAGGTTCAGTATGACACACAGAAGTAACGCTGTGCATGAGAGTGACACACAGGCTGCACCCACAGACCGGCTTCCAAGGTTCTTCCTTACAAGTTAACTCCTAACAAAAACTAATACCTAGTAATCCTCCCTAATAATTACTGTAAGATTAAAATTTTCCTCAACATTATTTTAAAATAAATAGGTTGCCTTTTTTCCTATTGTATCTGCTTAATTGGTTCCTCAATTCAACTGATTCATTTTTGTTTTTGTGTAAAATCTCTTGCTTTATCGGTGAATGTTTTTAAGACCCATGTTACAAGTCCCATGATTCATTTTGTTTTTACTGTAGCAGCAGTTATAGTTTCACATTATGTCTCATTATACAATGGTGAACCTCACCTCACCTCCCAATATCACCTGATATAAAGAGAGGAACACACAGATGTGTGAAGACGCCTCTCAAGACAGATTTCTGGAGCCTCTTCTTCATCAAACAAAGAGAGCTTTATGAGGACACGCTATTTCACCAATCTCTCACACACACACACAGGCGACTTCAGGCGTGCTTCACTTACTGGAAAACTGTTGGCTAACTACAATGTCTGATGCAAAAGATAAGCATAATATTGATATGACTGAGTAATCATGTAATTAGTCTGCAGGGGAACGAGAGCCGGATGTGAGAGGAGAAAGAGTGAAAGGAAAACAAA